TAACTTTTTTTTTTTTTTTTTTTAAAGCATTGGCTGAACATTTGATTGACTCTACTCTTGACCCTCCCTCAGCAGACAATAGGGGGCTGGTACAGGAACTGGGTTGTGTAGGAGCCTGGGCTTTGTGGCTTGGGACAAGTTCCCCCCTCCCTCTGAGCCTCAGGTGGCCTGTCTGTGAAATGAGAAGAATGGATTGATGTCCGTTGACCACGTGCCATGCACCACTTTGCAGACCTCCTCGCAGAGAGACCTTGTGATCGCAAATTCTCATACCCGTTTTACAGATAAGGGAACTGTGCCTGGCTTAAAGAAGCCATGGGACCTGCCTACAGTCACACAGCCAATAAGTGGCAAGTCCAGGATTTGAACCCAGAACGGTCACCCCCGCAACCCCAGTTTAGGTGCCACTCTCCTTCTCTCAGCCCAGCCCAGCACTGGTTTCATGGTCTGATTTATTGGTGGTGAGTATATAGGGGTGGGCCCAGGACAGGCAGCCTGGCTGCCTGGTGGGGGGGGTCTCTGTGTGACAGTTGCAGGGAGGAGCTAGGCTCCTCCACTCACTCCCAGGCCGGGCGCCGCTAGGCTTCTGTTTCTCCCGCCAAAGTTGGGCCAGTCCAGATGTAGAGGCCGATGGGAGCAGGTCCGGGTGGCTCTGGGCTGGCTGTTTCCATGGAGGAGGCGCTGTCGGCCTGGGTGGGCCGGGCTGAGTCCGTTTTGGAGTTCTCAGCTCCTGCCCAGCCCACGTCACTTGAGTACTGGATCCAGGTTAAAATTACAGGGACTTGGGTTGCTACAGCAATGTGGACATATAGCACAGCGGACTCTCTCTCCGTGGTGCTGGGCAGCCGTACCCCAGGCCCACTGGGTTTGAAGGTTCGTGGTGGGGTGGGGGGACGCCAAGGTGTTCCAAGCTGGTGCCCCCACTGGCAGCAGGCCTTGGAGAGGGAGGCAGGAGGGGCGGGCACAGAGGGCCTTGTCCATCCTTGCTCGAGTGGAGGGGTTGGGGTCCCAGCTGGTGGCTGCTCAGTCTCTCCTGTTGGGCGAGGGCTGGCTGGGGGGGCCCCAGGACTCCGGGCTGGGCACTACGCCATGCTGCTGGTGGAGCAGGGGGTGCTCTGGGTGCTCCCGATGCTGTGGTTGGTGCTACTGCTCTCCGAGGAGGCCGGGGCAGCCACCGCCACCACGGGCTCCCGCTTGCCGGGGTGACCTGGGGGCAGGGGCGGAGGTCAGGGCCCCGGCCAGGGCTCCCCACTCCCCCAGAGTCTTCGCCGGGCTCCCCCAGGTGGTGGTGGAGGGGTCCTGAGCACTCATCGTGGGGGCCTGGGATACTCACGCGTGTGCAGGTAGATGTACCAGAGCGCGGCGGTGAGCAGGGCCCCAATGAGGAAGGCGCCAAAGGTGATGCCCAGCACGGCGGGCAGGACGAGGCCTTTGTCTGCGCAACCAAGGGCAGGACAGCTGTGGTCAGCACTGCCACCTCCTCCCTGCCCCCCGACCCTGTTGTGCTGGCCAGGAGCACAGGTTTCGGTGCCAGTCTCAGCTCAGCTACTGACCCTGACTTCTCTGAACCCCAGTTTCCTCACCTAGCAAATGGGTTCATCACACCCATGCCTGACACTAAGCCGTGGTTGCTATGACCATCCACCCAGAGGGCCCAGCCAGGCCTTTGGGCCATGCCTCTGCCTCCCAAGGCTGGTAGAGATGCATTTTTAGGGAGGATGCATGGTATAATCTGAGCAAAGTGTGAGGGGCCGGAGAGTCCAGAGTCCCGCTGTGTGCCCTTAAGTCAGTCCCTGCCCCTCTCTGAGCCCTATACCATGGTAGGGATAAGCCAGAGCACCTCTGAGGGCTCTTCAGCTCTGCTCTTGGGTTTTCCCAACCTTCACTCTTTCCACACTCCCGATTCCTGTGTGACTATGGGCCAGGCAGCCTCCCCTTAGGCCTCTGAGTTCCCATCCCTGCAATGGGGTCATTAGCCTGCCCTGTTGGTTGCAGGCTGGGTGTAGGGGCTCCATCCAGGCCCAGGTGGGATGGCAAAGAGGCAGATGCCTCTCCCACCTCTGCCTTCAGTGTCAGGGACTCTTCTGCCCAGGCTGGGGGGAGCTGGGCTGAGGGCTGAGGCGTACCCTCCACACTAGGGGCCTTAAGGAAGGTGAGGTCAGTGCTGCCCCAAGTCTCATCCTAGGAGGCCCCATCCCCCGCCCCTCAGCAAGGTCAGCCAGCAACCTTGGGATCAAGAAGAACCAAAGGCCTGGAATCCGGGCCCACGGGGTGGTCATGAACAAAGGCTCTCCATCTGGAAGATGCAGCTGTGGACCCTACTCTCCAGGGTCCTCCCTACTGTGTGCCTACACCCATCCCTCTGGGCCGTCCATCGTGCCCCACTCTGACCTCAGCCCCTGGAACCCTGGAGAGACTTAGAGATAACTCACCATGCAGGCCAGGGCTGACAATGTTCAGGCGTGTGGAGACAGTCCTCTGGACGTCCTTGGGGAGGAAGAGTACACAGTGTGTGACACAGCCTTCGAGAGCAGCTTCCAGGCTTACTCCCTGCCTCTGTGACCCTGGCCTGTCACAGCCCACCTTGGGGCCTTGACTCTGAGCCCCCTCTCCACCACCTTCTGGCTGGCAGCCTTTGGGCAAGTGCTGGCAGTTCTGTGCTGTGGGAGGGTGTCCGCCAGACAATCCCTGGCTGCTGCTGGAATGGTTCTTGTGAGTTCCTGAGAGGGCCCCAACTCCCGTGAGGATTATGGGGGCACTGTATCCATCACCCTTGTGAATGCCTGGGTGAGAGGAGCCAGGTCAGCCCAGAGGCCCAGGCTCACTGTGGCTGGGGGAGAGGCCCACTCAGGAGCAGCCTCAGGGGCTTCTCCAGCTTCATACAACCAGAGAGGCTTTTAATCCTGGAGACCCTTCTGAGTGCAAGGGCCTGGGGATGACTGTGTGAGTGTGTCCAGGGCTGAGTGTCTGAGAATAGGTATCCACTGGATGGTGAAACGTGACCAGTAAGTGCAGAAAATCAGAATTTTGTGTCCTTTGTACTAACCCTCTTCCCTGAGGTCTCCTGTTTGTTGAGATTACGTTGGTGGTCATACTACATGGATAGATGGGTGGGCGGATGGATTCCTGGGTGGAGGGTTTGATGTATGACTGGGTGGGATCGTAGAAGGATGGCTGGCTGGCTGGGGGACTGGGCTGATGGAAGGACTGTGGATGAGTGACTGGGTGGGATAGTGGGAAGATGGATAGACGACTGGGTGGGATGGATGGATGGATGGATGGATAGCTAGCTAATGGTTGCAGCTGCATATCCTACCAATGTCCAAGACACAGCCATCAGAAGGCTGTAGGGTGGCAGAAAGAGCGCCTCTGGTACCCAGAGGCCACGTGCCTGCCTGTGGCTGTGTCTTGGTCCCACATCCTCATGGTCTATCACATCCCTTCCTGAAAACTCCAGACCCGGAAGCCACCCTTGAAGCTGGGCTTAGCCCAGCCCCTACTCACCAGGGACCAAGTGCTGAGACGCAGGGCTGCAGTGCAGCTGAGGATGCCAGTCGTGGGCATGGGCACCATGTAGCCACGGAGGAGAAAGCTGAAACGCATGTCACCACCAGGGCTCGGGGACAGCAGGCTCACACAGCTGCTCTTGGCTGCCTGGCTCTGGATGAGTTCCACGATTTCCATGTCAGGCCCCAAATTCAGTTGGCAGCTGTCCAGCTGGATCGTGAGCTCAGGGATCGATGGGGACACGCTCACCTGCATGGGTAGAAAGGGGGACGAGGCACAGTCAGTTACTCTTAACTCTCCGCCCTGCCTGTTCTCATGAAATAAGCTAGACTCATTCTAGAGTTCCCACTCCAGAACCTTGACGGTGGAAGGACAGTCACAGGCCTGCCTGGAAGCAAATGAGGAAGGAGAGGGGACATTCCGAGCAGTGTCTGAGCTCTGCCTGTGCTCTCTCTCCCCTCCACCAAGCACCATGGGGGCTCCCTCCTCCCTCTGGGAAGTCAAGTTCCATTGGGTGGAAAGAAAGGCTCTGAGAGGGCTTCCCTGGTGGCGCAGTGGTTGGGAGTCCGCCTGCCAATGCAGGGGACGCGGGTTCGTGCCCCGGTCCGGGAAGATCCCACATGCTGCGGAGCGGCTGGGCCCGTGCGCCATGGCCGCTGAGCCTGCGCGTCTGGAGCCTGTGCTCCACAACGGGAGAGGCCACAACAGTGAGAGGCCCGCGTACCGCCAAAAAAAAAAAAAAAAAGAAAAAAGAAAGGCTCTGAGAAATCCCAGGCCTTGGCAGGCCTAAGAGGTCAAGTCCAGTACCTGCACAAAGCCCTGCTGCCCCAGCTCGATGGTGTTGGAGGCCTGGAGGAAGTGCGGGCTGAGGTAGAGGCCCAGCTGGAAGGAGAGGCTGTCCATGTTGATGCACTGCACCTTTTTCTGTGGGAGATGGGAGGGGGGCTTGGTCAGTCGGGGAGGCACCCAGCCAGGGAGGTAAGGGGTGGGAGCAGGAGTCATGGTCCAGAGTTGTTGCCTGACCTTCATCACCACCTTAAACCACCCCCCACCCCAAACTGATATTTATCAAGAACTTGCTCTGCACGAGACTTGTGTGAAGTGCTTTTCATGCATCATCTCAGTGACGGCTCATCCCGTATGGGGATCCTTTCCTATGCCACTATTAACAGGACCTTTGGGCCCAGAAAGCTTATGTGATTTGCCCAAGGCCGCACAGCCGATATGTGCACGAACCCTCTGACTTAAGAGGCTGAGAACATAACCCTAAACAGTACTGCTCCCGTTGCACGGAAGGGGAGACTTGAGGCACGCTGGAGACACATTGGCTTGCCAGGATCAGGGCCTGAATTTCCTGAGGCCTGCTCCCTCCCAGGCCAGGAATGGACCCCAGGACCCTGGACCAGATGGGTTAGCACGGTGATCATCCATCTCACCTGCTGTGGTGATGAGCTTGACAGGAGGTTGACAATCACCTGCAGGAACAGAGCCAAGGAGCTGGTCAGAGCCAGAAAGGAACACAGAGGGTATCCCACCCAACGCGCCCATTTTTGTGGATGGGGAGACTGAACCAACCAATGGCTAAACTTGTTCTCCTACTGAGCATCACACCCGCTCTCCCAAACGCCCCTCAGCCTGGAAGATCCAGGGGGCACCAATTAAGCCGGCCCTGATAGCTTTCCCACCACAGCTCTTACCTCGTTACTGATCACATTTTCTGTCACTATCATGCCACAGCTGGAGTAGCCGCTGCGCAAGATAAGCTGGTCATCTCTGTCCTCAGCCTGGCAGCTGGAGTCCCAGAAGGTCAGGCTTGTGATGGTGCACCTCAGAGTCTGGGCCAGGGGTGGGGGGTGGGGGGAACGGTCAGGAGGCATGGGGCTCCCGGGGGCCTGTCCATCACACCGCAGCACCAAGGACTGACCACCCCCCAGGGGTCCCAAATCACAGCCATGCCTCTGCTCCCTTCTCCATTTTTGTTACTTTTCATCATCCCACACCATTTAAGACTACTTTTCCTGAACTTGACAAACACTTTTGTGCTTAGCAATAAGATCTGTGACATCATGAGTGTTTTATTCTCTACAGACATATATACTCAGAGAAATTGTGTGGCTTTGTTGGTTTCTTTTTTACTTTTTGTTGGGCCGTGCTGCCCAGCATGCGGGATCTTAGTTCCCCCTGCAGTGGGAGCTCAGAATCTTAATCACTGGACCGCCAGGGAAGTCCCTTTTTTTCCCCTCATCTTTAACAAATGGTATCATACCGTCCTTCATGCTTTAGCTTGGTTTTCTCACTGAACAATAAATCACAGACATCTTTCTGCGTTTATACTATAGATCTAGAACATTCTTTTTAACTGGAGTGTAATGTTTCAAAGATCGATGGATTACAGAGTATGCATCCAGACCTCTTGGGACAGGACAGCAGTAATGCCAGCCATCGCTGGTCCCTCCACCTCCCAGACATCTGTCTGGCCACTCAGAGGCAAGGGAGGAGGGGGAGATGGGCCGCAGACAGGTGGAGCTTCACCTAGGCCCCAATACCCCACACCCCAAAAGACTTCCACATGGATGTAGAGTTAAACGTCATTCGAAAAAATCCCTGAGAACATGCATGACTTGTCAAGGCTCTGGCAGAGAGAGTTCCTGCCTCGGAAAGACTAGAAAAAAAATCACAAAGGAAAAGATGACCAGCTAGGATGGCCCAACGTTTTCAAATGTCCAAAAAATTAAAAAACCCTCTGGCCAAAATTTAAAGAACTCTAACAAACCGGGAGAGATTATTTCAATAAGAATGATGGACAAAGGGCCACAAATGTCTCTCTTCATGTAAAAGCTAATAAAAATCATCAAGAAAAATACCAAGTTACAACGCACACAGAGACTTTGGCTATTATCAGTCGCACGAAGCCAAGCCCAAACTCACTACTAATCAAAGAAATAGAAATTCAAACAAGAACAGAGGGCTTCCCTGGTGGCGCAGTGGTTGAGAGTCTGCCTGCCGATGCAGGGGACACGGGTTCCTGCCCTGGTCCGGGAAGATACCACATGCCGCGGAGCGGCTGGGCCCATGAGCCATGGCCGCTGAGCCTGCGCGTCCAGAGTCTGTGCTCCGCAATGGGAGAAGCCACAACAGTGAGACGCCCGCATACCGCAAAAAAAAAAAAAAAAAAAAAAAATAGAACACAGTGCTCCCACTCTCACATCAGCAAAAAGTTTTTTAGACAAAAAAATAATAATCTGGGGAGAGAGAGAGTCAAAGTGTTCTCATTAATCAGCAGTGAAAATTGGAATCATCTATTGGAAAGCCGGTTGGCAACATGTATCAAAACTTCCAGGATATTCACTCATTTTGACCCAGCAATCTCACTGATGTGGAAACCTATCCTAAGAAAATAATCCTATTTAAAGAAAAATTTCATATGCACAATGACACTTTCTGCATATTTATAATATTACAGAATTGGAAACAACCCAAATGTCTAACGAGGGAGGAGGAGTTAATTATGGCATGTCAATATCATGGGATTGGATGTGCTTTTAAAGTGATGTTATTGGGGCTTCCCTGGTGGCCCAGAGGTTAATAGTCCATGCTCCCAATTCCAGGGGCCCGGGTTCAGTCCCCGGTCAGGGAACAAGATCCCGCATGCAAGCCTCAACTAAAGATCCCACATGCCGCAACTAAGAGCCCGCCTGCCGCAACTGAGACCCAGCGCAGCCAAATAAATAAATCAATGTTAAAAAAATAATAAAAAAGTGATATTATTAAGTACATATGTCAAAGTTTTAAAAATACATTAAATGAATATAGCAGGAAACAGACAATTGCATCCAATATGATTACACTGTATAAGAAATACACAGAGAAAACATTCCGGAAAGAAATCCACCAAATTGTTGGTAGCCATTGTCTTTGGATGGGGTGATTGAGATTTTCTTCTAATTTTTTCCACATTTCAAAAAGCCTGTGTTATTTTTATAATAAACATCTTTGTTCTTCAATTAGGCAGAGATCATACTGTATAGATATTCTAAGTGGCCACTCAGCTCAGCCTCCATTTAGGATTAATAATGACGACTACCTAGTATCTATTTATTGAGCACTTACTGTTCCACATCTGGCTGGGTTGTCAGACCTCATGTAATTCTCACCACACAGTAGGGACTGTTATTAACCCCATTTTACAAGTGGAAAAACTGACGCTTGCCGAGGGATATGATTTGTCCTCCTGCCTGGATTAGGACCCCAAGATTCTTGGGCTAGAGGAAGGACCAGTTGCCCAAGTCAGCTGGGCCGGAGGCCAGGAGTTCCCTTACCGAGATGAGATCTTTGTTGAGTACCAGAGTCATGACGTCTTCGGAGCACTTGGGCTGGATCAGGGACAGGAGCAGCTCCTGGTTGCAGCCCTCCTTGGGAGGGGTGGTCTGGACCGGTGTGGGTGAGGGCTGCAGCCCACTGCCTGCAGGGCAGCAGAGGCAGCCAGCAGACAGTCACTGCGGGCTCGCTGTGCTCTTAAGCGCTAAGCACTTCTATAGCTAGGTACTCTCAGTGTCCCTGAGATTCAGATGAGGAAAATGGGGCTCCGACCAGCTGATGCAACTTGCCCAGCACACACAGCAGCTGGGCATGGCTACAGATCCAAGGAGAGGGCAAGGGAAGGGAGGGGGGCGAGGGAGGGAGCCGGGTGCTCACCACAGCTGGGTGCCCTCAGAGAGACGACACTGGCCAGAGGGAGCTCCACAAAGGACGCTACTACACTGGCGTTGAGCCTCCGGGCCTCCCCCAGCAGGCCTTGGGTTGTGTTTGGGAGGTGGAAGCCACGGATGTTCTTCTCCGGAAAGATCTTGAAGGAGTATTCACCAGTGGTCTAATGACAGAGAGAGGCAGAGCAGGGAGCTACAGACACAGTCAGGGGGCGCACAGCCTGGCGGGGGCACCTGCAGGCCAGTGAGGGTCTGCCAGGCCTCGATCCTGCTCTCTCCTTCGCTCCTGCTGTTTCCCCTGCCTGGGCCACCTCCCCTCATCTACTGGTTCCTGTTCGTCTTTCCACTCAGCTTGGAGTTCACCTCTCCAGGAAACTTTCCTGACCCTGTGGGCTGGGTTAGGGGCCTCCCTAAGGGATCATGGAAGACTTCCTGGAGGAGGTAGCATCTAGGTGAAGGTCTGAAGGAAGAATAGATAGTTCACAGCAGGAGAGGTTGGGGGCAGAAGGATCATCATGTATAAAGGCTCAGGGCTGGGGTGATGGTGCAGGGAGTTTGGTTTTTTTCTTTGGGGAGCCTTGAGGAGACCTGAATGGGGTCTCACCCAGATCTGCATGTTGTGGTTGGCGTCGATGAGCCAGGACACGTAGGGTGGACCCTGAAGGATGAGCACGGCGGCGTCGGGATCCCTCGAAGCACAGCTCAGCTCCACCTTCACGGTCACTGTCCGGGGCCTGTGGGGAGACAGACCCCCGCATCAGAGCGGGCAGTAGTGCAGGGTGCAGGGGATGGGGTGTGGAGGGTTGTTGCTTGACCTGGACTTGCAGGGCAGGGACAAGAGCTGGGGTCGGGTGGGCAGCAGCTGTGCTCTTAACCTGGTCGGTCGTGGGTCCGTGGGGTGGACGAAGAAATGCGCGGGCCCCGAGATAGGCGGGGGTGACAGTACTCTGACCAGGTCAGGGGCGGGGCTGAGGCTTGGACAGAGGTGGGGCTTTATAGGGGGTGGGGCCGGAGGGGCGGGGCGGGCACCCTTACCAGGCCTCTGGGCCCGGCAGGACCCTCAGGATGTGCGCCTCCTTGTGGCCAGCCACACCTTCCAAGCGGCAGCCCCGGACGGAGGCCTGGGCGTTAGGGCTCCATTCGAGTGTGTGGCCCATGTCCTTGTGGGGTTCCAGATTGCAGGAAGACGGTGACCTCGGGGCTGCGGAGACAAGCGCACTTATGTCTCCTCCTTGAGCAGCCTGGCATCTAATACAGAGGCCCACCCTCAGCCACAGAAACGGTGGGGCAGGCAGGATGGAGCAGCAAAGAGTGGGGGGCATGGGAGGCCCGGGGTTCAAATCACCCCTCCACCACTTACAGCAGAGGGACCCAGGGGAAGTCCCTGGCCTCTGTTTCCTCATCTGTCAAGACAGGGTTAATTTAAGGTATGAACTCATGGCATATGCTAGGGATGCAGCCCTGCAACCACCAGCACATCATCCCCCTTTTATCTTTCTTGTAGAATTTACCATGACCTGAAATTATAGGATTTGTTTGTGTACATATTTATTATCATCTCCCCACCACAGTGCCAGCTCCAGGAGGGCAGGGTCTGGGTCTGTCCCCACAGAGTCCCCAAATGCCTAGCATAGTGCTTGGTGCCTAGTAGGTACACAATAAATAAGAAAGTGCTGTTTTTGTAGTTCAAGAAACTGACAAATAGCAGCAATTTCACATGGTTCAATCTCATATTTGGTGAAGGGGTAATCACTGTCCTAAGAGCACACTGACTTGCTATGTGTGACCTGGGGCAAATCACATCCCCTCTCAGTGCCTCAGTGTCCACATCCGAGGAATGAGCCAGAGGAATTCACATTCCTCCAGAGCCGAGTCCCGAACCCAGAGAGGCTGTTGGGGAAGCTGACCTTGGTCCAGACGGAGGAGGATGCTTTGGGGATTGTTCAGCTCCGCAGCAGAGGTGATGGGACCCTTTGTATCCGCCCAGTTGAGGAGCTCACCCTTGGTAGTGAAGGGTGGCAGCTGCGTGGTGTTGACCTCTGCGGGCTCTTGGAAGATGACCAGGTTGGGGTTCTGGGGAGATATGTGAAGGCTCAGGGTGCTGTTCCTGGGCCTGAGTCCCCTCTGTCCCATGCAGGAGGTCAGGAGATAATCTGAGGAGGCAGCGGTTTGGCTGAGCAGAGGAGGCCAGGCCTGAGGGTGCTGAGGCTGGTGGACCTGAAGTCAGCTCACAGTCCCCTGACTAGGGCTCCCCCAGAGCCTGATCTGCCCATCTCCTTTCTACACCTGGGGAGCTGGATGGACACACATCCACGTGCATCCACCTGTCCAAACATCATCCTCGCACCCCTCCATAGGCATCCTCATTCAGCCCACACTTACGACATCTGTGGTTACTGCCTGTTTCCCCCACACTCTAAGGTCTGTGAGGGACAACGCCTGCCTCGCCCACCCCTGCATGGGACTTGACACATAGTAGGCACTGAGAAATATTTGTCTAAGTTCGTGCCGGGCCTTGGGCCCAGCACTGGGATCCTGACATGGCAGCTTCTCCCTGATGCCTGGCACACATGGCAGGTGCTCCCTGCACGTGGGAAGGGAGAAGGCAAGAGAGAAGAAATGGATGAATACATGAACGAATGAAAGACAAACAGGGTGGTCCCTGCTCTGGGGGATCTTACCATCCAGAAACTAGTCACGCCTCAAGTCATTTGAAACAACAGAAGACAGAGGATATTATTTAATAAGAAACAAAGGAGCAGAACACGTCCCCTGGATGGACAGGGATGAGAATCTGGGTGGCTCCAGCACCTCACTGCCTCCACTGCCCACGCCTCAGGAGAGACTCTGCTGGGCTGGGGAAGGAAATAGGAAAGACTTCCTGGTGTAGGTGCTCTGGTGAAGTCAAAGGGTTCAGAGGAAGCTGTTGGGGCCACAGACTCAAGAGAGTTCCTTCTCCATCTGTCTCCAAAGCCAGAGGCACTGCGCTGAAGCAGCAGCAGCAGAAGGGCTTCAGGCTAGATACTAAGGGGGACTGCCTGACAGTGGCAATAGGCAAGACACCATAGAATGGTCCACCTGGAATGGAGCAGGACTGTAACAGGGCGGCAAAGCGATGAGCACCTGGGTGAGGAACCCAGCGCCCGCCCGCATGGAAGGGCTGGGGCAGTGGGTTAGAGCTGGAGAGTCTGGGGGTGGGGGTGCTTTTACCCATCTGACCCTCAGGGTCAGCTCTGTAAAATGGGGATGTAATAGGGATTAAAGAGCAAGGCGTTTGTCAGTCTCCTGGCGCTGGCGCTGGGTCTGGCACAGAGGCCTGCGCCCCCGTGAGGCTCTCTGTCCCTCCAGCAGCGTCCCGGCTCCGGCTGCGGGGGCCCGGCCCCCCGGCCGTGTATTCTTAGCGTCGGGGGGAGGGGGAAGGAAGGCTTGGCGGAGGTCGGAGCCGGCGGCTGCTGCGACCTTCCGGCCCGGCGGGCGGGCGCTTTTCATGGGCCGTGCGTCACCCGGAGCCCCACCGCCGGGCCTAGATCCCCGGGTTGGGCCGCCAGGGCGTCCGGGAATGGGAAGGGGAAAGGGGAGAGTCGAGATTAAGGAGGAGCCGTGGCAGGATCTCGCTTTCCCGCACTGGGAGCCGAGGGATGTGCCGCGTGGGGTCGGTCGGCTCTGCCCTCCTGGTTGGCTTTCGTTAGGCTCGCAACTTCCCTCCCAGGGGCGTCCGGGCTGGCCAGCCCCGTCTGCCTCTGTGCTGCCCCTGCCGCCAGTCTCGCACCCCCTCAACTTCTCTCCGTGTCTGGGCCCGTCTCCCAGGCAGCCTTGGATCTGGGCCTCTCTTCAGGCCCCCAGCTCCTCTCTCCCGCTCCTGGAACTCTGTGGTCTCGCTGAGAGTCTGTCTATTCCTCTCACAACAGGCACGCCCTCTTTCCGTTACCATTTTTCTTCCTGTGTCTCTCTCCCATTTGTTATCTTTGCTCTCCCCCGGGCTCTGGCTCCCTCCCCTCTGCTTTCTCTGGCTGTAAACAACAGCTGCTCGCATCTGGGGATCACCTCCCAAGGCCTTCCCTGTGGAGGGGCCAGTGCCGAGGTCCGCCCCACCTCCTCCAGCCCTGAACCTTCCTCTCTGTGGGTCCCGGACGGTGGACCTCCTCTCTCTGGTGGATGTGTCTGACACTTACTATCTGAATTTTTTAAAAATAATTTTTCTCCAACTTAGGCCATGCTAATTATGGCAAATCTTGCAAATTCAACAAAGTTTAAAGAACAAAACAGATATCTCTCCGAATCCCACTCCACAGCCATAAGTACTGTTTTGTTTGGTTTTTCACCAGGGAATTCCCCATAACTACCGATAACGCATTGTTAGGCTTCTTTTGTTTGGTTTTGGTTTTGGTTTTTGGGCCACTCCGTGCAGCATGCAGAATCTTAGTTCCCTGACCAGGGATCACACCCGTGCCCCCTGCATTGGAAGTGTGGAGTCTTAACCACTGGACAGCCAGGGAAGTCCATCATTGTTAGGTTTCTTCCTGGCCTTTTTCGTCTGCACTTAAATATTTTCAAATTTATGTCTTGTAACTTTCTCAAAGACAGTGACAAGGTTATTTTATGGGACTATCCTCAGTTCTCCCACTGCACATATGGGAAAACTGAGGCTATGGGAGGAGATTGGAGTTGGCCAGGGTTGCACATCAACCTGATTCCCACCTCCAGGTTTGGGCTCTTTATCCCAGGTTCTGTTGCCCTTTGCATTCTCCCTGTCAGGGACCCATTGGATTCACCAGGCAGGGCCCTGGTGAATAATGTCAGAATGAAAACGTGAAGCAGGGGACCCTGGCCCACAGAGGTGGACAGCAGGAGCCTCCCTCGGCCCGTGCCTGAGGCTGGGGCTGGAGGTAACACACTCACGTAGGCCAGGTGGAGTGGGATTCCCGGAGCCTGCAACTTCAGGAAGATGGTCTTGTTAGTGCTGAGGACCAGAAGCACCTCTCGGGGCAGGGTGCCATTTTGCTTGGATGTCTGGAGAGTCAGCTCCAGCACTGACACCTCCTGGAACGGGGGCAGGGGAGAGACACATACAGAGACCAGTCAGATTGCACAGGCTGTGCCACCAGATCAGTAGTGACGACTCATTTACTGTAAGCTTCCACTCCATTCTCCCTGCCCAGCTTGTCCACTCCTGTCTCCCAGAGCCCAGCACAGTGCCTGGCCCTCAGGAGGTACCCAGAAAATATTTGCTGAACGAATGAAGGAGATGAGTCCCAGCAAATCCGAGGAGATGTTTTTTTAAGGGTAGCGGGGAGGGATAGATTGGGAGCTTGGGATTGACATGTACACACGGCTATATTTCAAATAAAATGCCTTTCCATGAAAATAAATAAGTAAATGCAATGAACCTGAACTTTATCCAGTAGTCAGTTGAGGTTTATTATTTCCACAGAGCACCTGCTGTGTACCAGGCCTGCAAACGCCTGTGTGACTTAGAGAGTACCCTGTGCCCTTTTTCTGTCCCTATGCAACAGCGTTGAGGCATCAAACCCTCCCCAGTTTGCAGTATTCCTGTTTGCTTTACTATTTTAAAGTACTAAATACTCATATTTTGTTGAGTAATACCATTATTTTTGATATTTTATAAGAAATGTAAGTTGAAATCATTTATGTCTTGAGAGGTACCGACTGCATTAAAAAATTTAATTGATCATGGTGTATGCATTTAGAATGCTTTCATAACAACGACAACAACAATAATTAATACCTCACACTTATATAGTGCTTACTAAGTGCTTGGACTATTCTAAGTGCTTTACACATTGACTCACTTAATCCCCACGACAACCCGAAGAGGTAGGTACCATTGTTATTCTCACTCACAGAGGCGGAAGTGGGGCACAAAGAGGTGAGGTCATTTGCCCATGATCACACAGCAAGTAAGTATGGAGCTAAGATCTGGACCTGGGCAGGCCTCTACTCTCAACCGCTATCCTGTCCCATCACGTTTTTCTATACCTCCTTATTCTCAAGAAGAAAAAGAACAGAGCAATCCACAAGGCAAAGCTTCTATCGAAAGAAGAACCCCTGCTCTGCTCAAAGACTCTCTGAACCAATGGAGTATGAACAGGTGACTCCTGAAACTGAGACAGGTATAGGCCTCAGAAGCCCCGTCCTCACGAGGACAAAGACAGATAGATGGAAACACTTGACTGAAACACAAACTCCAGAGGCTCTCAAAAGCTGACAGTCTCTCCAAAGAGACAAAAAGCTGACCCTCCCCAAATCTCCTCAAACTTATCAAAAAGGAGACAGATATTTCAAGATGAAGACATCAGTGGAAAGTTTTTAGATTTAACTTCTAATTATCTCCGGGCCATTTTCCCAACTGATGTCACAGAGCCAGAGAGTGTTTCAGCTGCTGGAAAAATCTGCCAGAAATATTTCCGTTACCTAAAAATGACACCATAATCACTCTTTGTAAGTTTGCTCTTTGAAACAACAACAAAAAAGCAAATAATGTTTCATTTTCAATGTTTCATAAATAATTTTTTTCATTTTAGTGAGCTATTTAGGTTGCTTATTTTTTGAATAATCACTTTTATGCTAATTTATAGTAGAATGATATGTCTCAAATTTATGTTTGTATAAGTTCACATTTTTGATTAATTTATGTTTTCTAATGGGTTTATAAATTTTGGATTTTGAAATATCTTGTTTCATCAATTTTTAAAAATATTATGCATTCTAAACACTTGAAGAATTAAATACTGGATTTAATATCATATTCTGGTAAAATATGAAACACCAATCTAAAGGTCAGAACGGACATTTTGTTCCAGGATTGTGATCAGTACTCGAAATTAACCGGAGTGAAGGAAGACCCACCTCCGCGGTGTCAGGAAAGGCCCGGGCACTGCTGACCTGTCTGAACCATCAAGAATGCACCCACCCCAGCTTCCTTACCTTAGTTGCCTATGTATTATTAGCTTGAACAATCGAATATGATTGCACAACTCTGTGTATTTGATAAAAACCACTCAACTGTACACTTTAAACAGGCAACTGTTTTCACGATAAAGCTTTTAAAGAAACAACAATCAAATATCAGTAATTTCACGTGGTTCAACCTAATCTGTGCCCGGTCCTGTGCTGTGAAAGTTGCGCATGCTCTCATGAAGCAGGGTCAGGTACTCTCCCATTTCACAGATGCAGCCATCGGGGACAGGGAGGTCACATGCCAAGGTGAGTGATGAAGTCAGGCGCCCAGTGCACATCAGCCTGGTGCCAGAGTGGGTGCCTGGACCCCTGGATAGCTCACCTGGGCCGTGTCCTTCCTCTCAATCCTGCCGCTCCCCAGACTGCCCCACAGTTATCACTGTCCAGTCCCATCTGTCTGTCCTCCCACAGAGGAGTAGACCTTGAGACCCATACATGGTGAATAGATGGGCCCCATGGTTTGGAGGTGCCACGGCTGCTGCAAATGAGGAGATCCCTCCTCTGCCCTTGGGTGGGCACCCGCAGGCCGAGAGCGTTGCAGGTGACAGAGCGACTGGGAGCACAGCCCCTGAGCTGGGAGGAAAGAGCCCTGTAAACATCAGTTCCTGCTGCCACTCTGCAACTGTCCCAGTTTCTCTGTGCCTCAGTTTTCCCATCTGTGAAATGGGAGTAGGACAGGGTTGGGAACCAAAACCAGGTGGGGCTCAGGATAAAGGAAGTTAAAAAAGAGAAGTAGAGGTCAGGGTCGGGTCATGCTGAGGGTGAGGGGGTTAGGACACTGGAGCTTGGTGACGTTCGTCATGACATCTGGCTGTGCTCCCAGGGCTCACATACCAATTCTCCCATTCAGTTGTCACCAAGTCCCTCCCTGTAGAGTTTGGGGCTGGGAAGGGGGTGGGGGCTGAGGCCCAAAGAGGGGCAGCCAGGGGCCAGGGCCACACAGCAAGCGAGTCATGTGGAAACTCAGCTGGCTGGGCTCCCTGGGGTCTCTGAGCCCCTGGGCCGAGCCGAAGGCCAGCTGGTTACCAGAAAAACCCAGTCAGGGTTTCCACAGCAAACATTTCCATCCCATGGCCCTGACTCATCACCGTGGTAACTCACACGCCGACTTCCCTCTTCCCTCCCAGCCTGGAGCCCAAAGGCAAAGAAAGGGGCCTGCCTTGCCCCCCACCTCAAGCTCCCAGTCTTCCCAATGTCATCCTGGGAATTCTGGGAGCCCAGCCGAGGTGGGCAGGCCAGCCAAGCCCTCTCCCCTAGCTCTGCAACCTGGGCCGGCCTGGGCCTGCCCTGGCCCCCTCCCTGAGCCAGTGGGCGGGAGACCATGTTTCTATTTTTGTGCCCGTGTCCCACAGATGCCATTGTTGGCTCAGCAGTCAGTGGCGGGAAGGGGAGATTTCGGTGAGGAGGTCCTGAGTGCTAGTAGCCACTTATAGAAAGTCGCTTCCAGCAATTCTTCTAGGAGTGGAGCCTTGGGGCTGCCTGCAGCCCCCCCACTCCGAGGGCCAGACTGGAGCCGGCCAGATTGGAGCCAGCCGTCCTCTGTCCACCCCAGCAGACTCAGACGGCACATGCAGGCAGGGTAACGGGTGAAGGGGGTCAAAGCCAGACTGACCTGAATTCAGACCCGGGCTCAGTCATTCGCTTGTGACCCTGGGCAGTTACTTCCTCTCTCTGGGCCTCGGCTTCCTGATCTGGAAAATGGGCTGAACAATATACCCACTTCATAGACTTGTGAGGATTCAGTGAGATTCTGCCTGCAAAGTGGGTTGTCCAGTGCCCATGGTAGTACTGATAGATTGGCTTTCACTACCGCCAGTTCTCTCCCTGCCCGCTCATCCAGAGGAGTGCCATGGTTTGGGGGCTGAGGAGGCTGGCGTTAGAGCTGGGTAGCAGTTAGCTGGAATTGGGACCTACTTCGGCCACACCACCCTGCAGCTTCCCCTCTCTGGGCCTCAGTCTCCCCATCTGTGCAGGGAGGAGCTGGGCTCAGTGACGTTCCATCTGGCCTCCTGGGGCTCCCAGTGGCATCTGGGAGTCATGGTCTCCAGCCAGGTGGCTACAGGGTGGGTTTCCAGAACACCCAGGAGAGGCATGCTCCTCTCCCCAGCTGAGGGTCCCTGGTCAGCCCATGTTCTCCCCACATCCCCAGTTCATTGGTCTGAGAGACCAGCACTGGGCCCAGCCTGGGGCTTCTATGCTGTCAAAGGGGGACAGGAAAGAAGGCACAAGGCTGTCATCAAGGAGCTTGGCAGAGAACAAGAGTAACACCCGCAAACTGTCAGTGACACCACTAACCTCTTGGGGATGGACAATAGGCAAATGCTTATACACACGTATACTTCCCCTTCCTTCCGTTATTCACCCACCGACTCATCCATCCATCCATCCATCCACCCAGTACCTGGACTGACCCTGAGCTGAACACTGGGGATACAGCACTGAGAGAGCAGATGCAATCCCTGTCTAGTCTGTCTGACCCCCAGCCCATGCCCCTCCACCAAGCTTGCCCCTAATATCTGCAAGGCCTGGCACAAGAACATATATGACAGCCCCTGGCCCCAGCCCACCTTGCTTCTCTTCACATGGACACGTGTGGAAAACGAGCCTGGATGCCCAAGCTCTGCCATGCTCACTCCTCCCAGCCACCTGTGACCCCCATTGCTGAGTCCATCACTCAGTACCAGGGCTGCTGACGCCCACCTCTGCCTCCCCCAGGAGTGGCTACAGGGCAGGGGCCAGGTCTGCTTTCTCTCTGCACCATCAATGTCCACCCTTAGTCACCTCACCCAGCCTTCAGGTCTCCGGGAGCTGACCCCAGCCGTGCAGTGCCCCTTCTAGAGGAGAGGACAAGAAAGAGACCCATCCAATCCTGGGAGGAGGCCCAGCGCATTTAGGCAGGGAATTCTGGAGTCCTGGTTCCCAGGGTAGGGACTAGGGGAGGGATGCAGGTCCCTTCGGCAGATTCGCCACCCGGGGCAGGGGAGATGCAACTGGAAAAGGTCCAGAGAGGGGCTGCAAATTCTGGGTGTCAGGCAGGGGCCCCTTGCCCAGGTCTGAGAGCGGCACTGCCTTCCACAGCCCTTCACAGCCTCCCAGGATGGTCTGGGGGAACCCGTGGCCCCCTGCCCTCCCTCTGCCCGAGCAGCCTTGTCTGCCCCTCTCCCCAGGAAAGAGTCAGTGCCAGAGCCCCGTGAGTTGTGTGCTTGGGGGTGGGCAAGGCATCGTCAGTTCCCTGAGTTTGCCCAGAAGTGGGGTGAATCAGAGGCTGTTTCAGCTCTGGCTGCCTGGGGTTTGTTAGGAGGACAGCAGATCAATGTAGTCGGCCTGACGGGAACTGCTGAGACACCAGGCCGGTTTCCTGTCTCCGCAGGTCAGGATGTGACCCTGGGCCCCCTCCCGGAATCCAGGCTCCAGCTTGCCCTTCGGGGACCCAGCAAGATAGAGCCCCTGCCCAGCGGCCCCCTCATCTGTCTGCAAACCCTCCCAACACACACACACACACCCCTCCGAACCTCTCTTCCCCGAGGCTCTTGGCTGCCACAACTCATCTGCCGCCCACCCACAGGAAATCTGAGGCTTCAGAGGCCACGCGGGGATGCAGGGGAAAGCTGTTTCTCTGTGCCAGGGTTTGAAGGTGGCAGCCATAGGTTGGGAGGGATTGGGCCCGTTGCTGAGACAGTCGCCACCCACGCCACTGCTGCCCGCTCGTGTTTCTTGCCTCTAGGCCTTTGTTCACACAGTGCTTTCTGCTTGGAATGCCCTTGACTCCCCTCTCGGTCTGGCTAGACACTGGGAGTCGTTTCCCTAATGCCTCCTTCTCTCCACACTCAGTGATCATTCTCCCGGGGCCAGCAGGCCCCTGCATCCCCTTCCGCAGCTGCCGAGCCCATCATTTGGTGCCAGGGATGCCAGTGCCCACCTCTGCCTCCCCTGTGAGTGGCTCAAGGGCAAGGGCCAGATCTGCTTTCTCTCTGCACCATCAATGCCCAACACAGGCTGGGCACAGAGCAGGCACCTGGCGAGGACTGGTTGAGGGGGACTGTTGGGCTGTAGACCCCCTTCTTGGGGGCCGCCTGGGGAGGAAGATGTCTCCCAGGGAAGCCACGGGTCTTTCGCTGTCACGGCAGTAGATCTGGTGGGATCATGGGCTCGACCCTTGGGGCAAGAAGCCAGGAGCACCCAGCTCCGTCAGGCTAGACCTCAGCTTCCCCCTTTGCAGATGGATTCATGGTCCCTGTTTCGGCCGCCTCGTAGCAACAACCTATGAGGATCAAATTAGTTGACTGGCGTGAAGATGTGCTGCACACTGTAGCGTGCTCAGCCGAATGAGGGTATTGACGGGGGAGACACGGAGCCCACAGAGGAGACGTTATGATAACAACAGGCAGAGCTACTGAACATCGAGAGTGGCTCTGGGCAGGCCCGAGCTCAGTATTTTGCCTGTGCTACCCCACTGGATTCTCACAGCCACCTGTGAGCTAGGTACGATTATCACCTCCATGTTTCCCAGGGAAAACCAAGTCTTGGAGAGGTGGCCCAAGATCGAGCCGCTGTAAGTGGTGGGGGGTAAGGTTCAATTCTAAGACTGCCTGGCTCCAGAGCCCATGCTCTTAACACTGGCCTCAAGGTCACATGGCAGTGCATTCATTCATTCATACATTCAACAAACAGTCATTGGTATACTCCAGGCGCTGGGCCAGCTTCTGCCACTCCATGATTCTTCGGTGAGTCCCTTAGCCCAAGAAGTGTGTGTCTATCGGAGCGTGGGGAGGAGTCCCTTCTGCATGCCAGGCACAATACGAGGTGCTGGCCAGTGACGGATCCAGGACTGGAGACCCCATCTCCCGAACCCTGGCTCTCTCCATCACCCCTTCAAACAAACAGGCCCAGCGGTCCTGGAGCCTGCAGCCTGACTCCTTGAGTTAAAAGCCGGACACTCCATGGACTGAGTTCTCTGGAAGAGGCAGAGTGCGACAGGGAGATTCTGTTGTCATGAGCTCTAGGATGACATGTTACAGCAGCACCCTGTCATGCCCCTAAAAACCCTCCAACGACTGTCACTGCCCACAGGATAAAGACCGAACCTGTTACTATGGCAACGGGGCCTTGTCCATCTCCCCAGCCCTGCCCCGAGGTGAACTGTAAGCTCACGATGCAGTGAATCACATGCCGGCCTCAAGTGAGTCCCACTTTCCTGCCTGTGCGTTCACTCTATCCTCTGCTCTTCCCCACGGCCTCCTTCATTCCATGAACTCTGGCCGTTCTTAGTGTTCCTACTTCCTCCACGAAGCCCGGCCTAATCCCATAGCAGCTGGCCTATCCCTGCCCTGCGCCCCCCGAGAAAGCACCAGTCATCTGGGTCCTGGCTGTCTGTCTGCACATCTGTCTCCAATAGACCTGGCTGGTTGGCCAGGAGCCTTCTCTGACACTGGCTCACTGTTGAGTGATTGGGGCTGGGGGGGTCCCAGTGCCACCCAGGCGAGGCACAGAGACCTGAACATCCGAACACACATAATGAACTTACGGAGGACAATCTCATTTTCCATATAATTAGCAAACTTGAAAAAAATTACAATGGCTATGGAAGCCACACAACGTGTGTTTGGCGCTATCTTTGGCTTGGGGGTTATCGAGACCCACAGTCCTGGTGGCAGGCAGGGTGGTGGGGAGCAGTCCCCCCGATATTGGTGGTCTTGGCACTGTCTTATCACTGCACAAGTGCAGGGCAACCTAACAGTTTTGGGGGCCACAAGTTCACCCTGAGCCGACACCACTAAATCGCTATCAGGACCTGAGGCCACATTGGCCAGGTGTGGCTGCCAGCCCGGGCAGGCCAGGCGCCGGCTGAACACTGAGATCCACTGGAGACCCAGGTGACGGCCTAGCTTGGAGTCTGGTGGATCTAGTGAACTCTGGCCTCAGGCATGTCGCTTCACCTCTCTCAGCCTGCCACAGGTCTCTCCTCCAAAAAGTGGGGAAACAGACCCTGACAGATGGGCCCTCAGGAGGTTTAATACACGAAAGGTGCTTAACTTTGTTCCTGGTACTTAGCAGGCCTAGCACAGTACCTAGCACATAGTAAGTGCTCAATAAACGTGTTATTATTATCAAGAGGGACTTAGACAAACTCATGGTGGACCTTCTTGGTGGGGGGAGAATGGTCTCTGAGGTGACATCACCGGCTTCCAGTCTCTGGGGGGGCTGCCTGGACGGGTCACAAGATCTTCAATGAGTGACATTCCAGGGAGGTAGATTTGCGCTCAACTGAGGGAAGCACTGTCTCAAGGTCAAAGCTGCCTAGAGCAGAGCCGTGTCACTGAGAAACAGTGAGCTCCCCATCACTGGAGGTACATGAATTACAGCTCGCCTGGCTTTTCTCCACTCCACTGCCAGCCAAATACAGCCCTTTCCACCAGGGTCTTGTGTGGGCATCCAGAAGATTGCCCCAGAAATGCCACCCCTTACAGGCCCTGTGAGATGAGATGCCGAAGTCACACTCCTGGCAGGGGCCCTGGTGAGGACTCAGCCACTGTCCCAGGGACAGCCACAAGGAAAAGTTCCCCTCATCTCATCGGCCCTGGGCCATCTGCTGGGTCCCCACCTGACCCTGCCATCAGGCACTCACCTTTAGGAACTCCAAGAAGAGGATGTGGACTTCCAGGGTAGCATTGGGGCTCTGAGCCACGCAGCCCTCAGAAACCTGGCTGGTGATGTATGTCACCTGTGGGTCCACAGGCTGTAGGTCGCAATAGACTGTTTCTGCAAGACCTGTTGGGAAAGCACAGGCAGAGAGTGGGCCATTTAAGAGCAACGTGGTGACAATTGCTCCCACTTTCCAAATGCCTACTGGGTGCTTGGCACTGGTGAAGGGCTTTATTGCATCTTCAGAGCTACCCTGCAAGGTGGATATCATTATACCCACTCCACAGATGAAGAAACTGAACCTCAGAAACGCAAAGTCTCTTGCCTGAGGTCACAGTGCTAGTAGGTGTAGGGCTGACAGATAAAATGCAAGACACCCAGTTAAATTTAAAAAAACGAATATCTTTAAAAGAATAAGTATATCCCAAACATTGCGTGGGATATACTTATACTAAAAAATTTTTCACGGTTTATCCAAAATTAAAACTTAAACTGGGCATCCTAAATTTTCATTTGCTACATCTGGCAACCCTAAATGTGTGGCAGGACCCACCTGTGCACACATCCAAGCCTCTGGGCTGGTCCACTCCAAAGGATCAGGAGACAAAAATGCCCCTCTTATGCCTCAAGGAGGCCGGGAGGAACGGGCCAAGGAGGGTTGAGAGTCTCCTGGCCCCGACGGACAGAGTGAGCCCAGGTTCAGAGGGCAGCTGCCGGAGTAGGCTGCAGAGCCCGCTGCCCGGAAGCGCAGGTCCTGAGGGAAGGGAATGGAATTTCACCCTGACCCAGCAGAGGAGGAAGAGGAAATGAGGCCCCTACACCTCGTCCTGAGGAATGTGCCAGGGAAGGGGGGGCTCTGGAGGAGGGAAGGAGGACAGAGAAGGGGAGACTGTTTGGAAGTTTGTGTCTCCATCTTGTCGCGCTTACTTCCTGTTTTCTTGGAGATCAAAGATGGGTGCGGAGGGCCTGGCCGCACGTCCAGCCGACGCCAGCTCAGAGGAGGGGGGAGGGAGGCTTCTTCTGAATCCCGGGCTATTGGGCTGTCTTTGGCCTAGTCCGGCCTCCTTCCACCGCCTGGTTGGCTCAGGACCCCCAGGGGTCAGAGAAGGACGGCAGATGGCCACCCACCGGCAACACCTTGGGAAGGATGAGTCCGGGACAAGGACATTTGGCTGATAAATCCTCACCCTGGCCCTGTCCTATGTGCCAGGGACTCCAGAGTGCCTGCATTTTCATTAAAAGCAAGGTTCCTGGAGCCAGGCCGACCCGGGTTTGAATCTCAGGCCCAGCACTTACTAACTGATGCTGCTTTGGCGAACTATTTGACTTTGGGCTTTGGTTTCCTCGTCAGTAAAAGGACAGTAAGAATAGAACCCACACAACCCGCAGAGGTGAGATAGGGTGTATGGCAGTTCTTTTTATCACAATTCTTTGATTGACTTTAGCCACGGGAGAAGAATTGACTGTCCTAGGGGGGTGGTGATGTGGTGGATGGAACAGGGTGGCCTGCAGGTGAGGGGTCTCTGTGAGGGAGGTCACTGATATCTCAGGCTCAAGTAGACTCAAGGGCTGGCACCACCTGCTGCTGACCCCCCGCTTGGGACCCACCAAGCCCCTCACGCTCTCCCTGTCCCTGATAGTGAAGACAGACTTCCTGGCTGCTACTTAGTCCTCCTGTACAGATGGGGAGACCGAGGCCCGGAGACAGGCGATGTGCCGGATTCACAGCACACGTGGCTGACCGGGCCGGGCTCGGACCTACCTCTCCCCACGAGACCCAGGGTCTGGCTTGCAGATTAGTGCAGCGCTTTCCTCCTTCCCTTCGGACTTACCCTGCCCCCTCCCCAGACTTCCAGGAACCCCAGTTCCTCCGGATTGCTGGGGCCGCCTGGGGCCACCTCCTCCATGCCGTCAGCCTGTCAGCCAGCGGGAGAGGCCACAGGCCTAGCCATTATGTAATGATCAGATAACAGGCCAGGCTGGGAGATCAGATAAGAGGTCCATTTATTTTGGGGCCTTTTCGAGTCCTGGCTGCCCCCACTCCGCAGACGAGAATGGGGAGACAGGAGGGAGTGTGACGCCCAGGGCCTGTCTCCCGGAGCCAGAGGCGGGCCCAGACAGAGCTGAAAACAATCCCCTGGCACCAAGGGAAACTCTGGGGCTCCTGGGACCTGGGTTGGAAGAGGCGCCGCTGGGGCCCTGGATGACCGGGTGAGTGAGAGACTTACCAACTGGGGGGCCACCTCTCCACCTCTGTCGCCTCCCTATCCTCCCCCACCCACAAGCACAGAGCCACCTTGGGGCTTTCCAAATGGCCACCCCCAGAGCCTTGGGCGGCCGAGAGGATGATGGTCAAGCAAAGCCAGCTCTGGAGCTGGATGGTCTGAGTGAAATCCCAGCTCTGCCTCTTAAAAAAGCTGGTCACCTTGGGGCTTCCCTGGTGGCACAGTGGTTAAGAATCCGCCTGCCAATGCAGGGGACACGGGTTCGAGCCCTGGTCCCGGAAGATCCCACATGCCATGGAGCAGCTAAGCCCGTGCGCCACAACTGCTGAGCCTGCGCTCTACAGCCCGTGAGCCACAACTGCTGAAGCCCACGTGCCTAGAGCCCGTGCTCTGCAACAAAGATAAGCCACACAATGAGAAGCCCATGCACCAAAACGAAGAGTAGCCCCCGCTCGCTGCAACTAGGAAAAAGCCCGCGCGCGGCAACGAAGACCCAACGTAGCCAAAAATAAATTAAAAATTAAAAAAAAAGTTGGTCACCATGAGCAAAAGCCTAACTTCTCTGAGCCTCAGTTTCCCCATTTGCAAAACAGCTTCTATCACGCTTACTGGGCGCCAGGTAGTGTTTTGTGGCTTTACGTGGGTTCATTCATTTGATGCTCATAGCAGCCCTCCTACAAGGTAGGTGCAGTTATTATAACCGTTTGACACAAGGGGAAACTGTGTCAAACAGTTAGGGAGGTGCAAGAATCTGCCTGAGGGCACGCAGCTGTTAAGTGGCAGGGCCCATACTGGAACCCAGACAATCCAGCTTTAGTGCCCAGCACCCACTTTGCAGGCTATGTATCAGCTTCATGAGGTAACCCATGTACAGAGCCTGGTACCCAGTAAGTGTTCTGGACACAGTAGCTGTGATTATTTAATGAAACCAGGGCCAGTCCTCTTTGACAAGGATCTTTTCTGCATTCCCTCTTTTTCAGTTACCCAGCCACCCTTTGCTCCTTTCAGGGGCCAATCGTGGCCTCAGAGATTTCCCTGTGTCCAGCCCAACCACTGACCCTGGGCCTGGCCACCAGTGAGGCCTCAACACTCCTTTCCCTAGTCTGTCTCCGGCTTCCCGATGTCTGCGGGCTAAGGCCATACTCCACAACCTGGAGTGGAGTTAAAAAGTGCAGGGATCTGATAGATGCTGAAGGTTCAGATCCTGATTCTGCTACTTGCCAGCTTTCCATGCCTCAGTGCTATTATCTGTAGAATGGGGATGGTGATCATCAAAATACCTTCCTCAACGAATTGGTGAGAATATTGGAAAATTGACACATGCACAGGGCCAAGGAGGATCCTGATGTGTGCGAACTGGCAACCGCCGTCACGGTTATTTACGTCCAGCAGTGGGGAGAAGTGAACTTTTCCTTCAAACACACCTTGTTCCTTGCCCTTGCCATGCCCTTTCCCAGACTAATAGTCTTCCTTTATTTGACGACTTCTCTTCAATTCCTATTCATCCTTTAAAACCCTGTTGTGAAAATCTTCTCATCAGAACCCATCCAGGGACTTCCCTGGTGGTCCAGTGGTTAAGACTTCGCCTTCCAATGCAGGTGGTGTAGCTCCCTGGTCGGGGAGCTAAGATCCCACATGCCTCGTGGCCAAAAAACCAAAACGTAAAACAGAAGCAATACTGTAACAAATTCAATAAAGACTTTAAAAATGGTCCACATCAAAAAAATCTCAAATAAAAAAGAACCCATCCAGTTGTGCTCTAGGTGGGAGAGCCACTGCAGGTGTAGGAAAGAAACCTAATGCACGGGGTGAGAGGAGTTGGCGACAGAGAGAGCCTTATCATCTTCCCTAAGGCACTATGGTGTATGGTTAGGTCCAGGGCCTGAGCCCCAGCTGCTCATTTCTGAGCTGTGTTACTCAGGCAAATTCCTTCACCTGCCAGTGCCCCAGTCTCCTCAGCTTTAAAATGGGGGTAACAGGAGTGTCAGCTTCATTGGGCTGTTGGGAAGGTTAAGTCTGATGGTACACAAAACAAGCCTAGAGGAGTGTCTGGCATTCACCCCCACCCCGTCACAGGTATTGAAGTCAGCTCAGCCTTGGATGAGGGTCCTCTTCAGCCTCCAGGGCTGAGGCCCCAAAGCTGGAGCTAGAAGGGGGAAGTTGCTCCAGAGCCAGGGCAATCAGTGCTCCAAGCCTTCCACACCCACCCAGGCCACGAAAGATGCAGAGAAAAGAAGCTGGCTTGAAGAAAAGAAGCCTAGACCTGTCACTTGTCCTGAGGCTTGATTTCTTCGTCTATAACTTGGGTATAGAGACAAAGGGCTGCCTGATGCACTGGGGACACAGAAGAGGAGGTCCCTCCCTCTTGCCCAGATCCCTCGTCAGGTCCTCAAGCAAATAAATAGATCAGGCCTGTCCTCAGAGGGCCCATCACTGACCCATCTGTGCGCATGAGAGAGACATCAATTCTTTCTCTCCCTCTGGGTCTTAGTATCACCATCTATCTGGCTGAAGTGAGAACCTTAATGGTCATGCCCCCACTGTCCCCAGGGACCCACTGTCTCCTGGTTCACACAGCTCCTGCTTCAACCTCCCTTTCCTCCGGACAAATGGGAAGCTGCCCCAATGCAGGCTCTAAGAGATGGATATTTGTGGTCTGTGTCCTGCATCCCTAGCAGGACCTGTCCTGCCCCCCTCTCCAGGGAGTCCCAGACCCTCACACATGTGACCAGCAGTACAGGAGACTCCAAGTCTCACCTCTACCCCATCCTCCAGCGAACACTTATCCACACTTAGGAGACACTCTTCGATCCCAACCACCCAACATGGGCCACGAACCCCTGCACCTCCACTTCTGGGACTCTATCCAAGTGAAATACTCCAAAATACAGGAAAAGATGCATGTACCAAAAACGTGCATGGAAGTGGTATTTATAACTGGCCCCAAAGGGGAAACCACCTAAGTATTCAACAATAAAGAATTCATTAGGCAAACGATGAGATGGCACATTTGAGGGAGAGACTATTCTAGAACCACAATGGGATGGTTATGGAGTCCACATGACAACACAGAAAACTTCTGGGACATAAGAAGGGTATGCAAGATTTCCGAATTTGATCCACCTGCATTAAAATTACCTTAAAAAGCTAGACAAAAACTAGTAAGCAATCCACCAGCATGCTAACTGTACCCATACTAATAAAGGAGCCAGGGAGGTCATTTTTCCCCCTCTTATCTGTTTCCTTTGAGGAGTGGACTAAAGCGAATATATGGTTAAATTGCTTTTTAAAAATCTCTACATATTTGTTCTTTAAAAAATTCATGTAAATCATCTATACTTCAATTAAAAAAAAATTCCAGCATGACAAAAATGTGTGTCTTAGAAAATGAAAATCCTCTTAGAGGAAGCCAGTGCTAAAGAACAGTGACATGGGGATTTTCTTTGTGCATATTGTGTATTATTACTATTTTATTCTTACAGAAATGGAGTCATTGATGTTTGCACACCTGACAATGTGTCCTAGACATATGTCCACAGCAATGTAGATCTGTAGCTAGCTTTTGCTTGGTAGTGGCTGTGTAGGGTTCCACTGCATAGTCATCCACTTCATAGGGCCCAGGCTGGCAGACACGGGGTGGTTTCCAGTTGTGCGGTTTTTGTTACAGGTACCTACGGACCACACATCTTTACAGAGTTGGGCAAGTAACTCCACGGGGTTGACTTCTGAAGGTGAGTCTGTTACACAAGTTACGGTTTTGAAAGATTCTGCCAAGCTGTGTTCCCAGAAGGATGGACTCGTTTGGGACATGTTTTCATCCCATTTTGACCCCCTCCAGCTTTAATGAGGATGCCTGGGTCACTAACACTCCCACCCCCTCCCCTGCCGTGGACGTCTGGCTCCCACACCCTGGCCCTGGTCCCCATCTGCCCTCCATGGGCCTCAGTTTCCCAGACTGAAGATGAGCTGGGCTGGATGCTTTGGGATGCCCTTGAGCCCTATGATCACTGGGTGCTAGTACCTGCTCGCAGAAGCAGGTTGTTACATTTTCAGGAGTTTTTCCAGTTGGCTCTTAAACATAGCCATTATTAAAAATTAAATTTTATAAGCTTACAATTAAATAAATTATATATATTTAAAAGTTAATAAATATCAAACCTCATTACTCCCTAATTATTTTATTCCCTTTTGTATTATCTGTGCTCTTGAAGTTATCTACGTCTGTAATATCTGTGTGGTGGAAATAGTAGATAAAGGTTTATTACTGTGCACCCGCCCCAACTCTGAGTCTGCTGAGTTGATAGCCTGAAATCAGCCCTGTGGGAACATTTATACCGTGGATATTGACAAATGTTACCCCACCCCACCCCCCAGTCCGCTGTTCATTATTCGCCAGCACACCAGTGCCTTTGATCCTATAAAACCAGGCCCTAAAGAGCTTCGAGGATCTTTCTCTGATAACCTAGAGGAAGAGAGTGTTATCAAGCTAGAATGTTGGGGGGAGGTGGGAGAAAGGCAGGGTGGCCTGGGGGCCTATCGTGGAGCTCAGGTAGGGCTTCTGTCTGAGCTGTGTGAACTTAGCAGGTCACAGCCTCCACTTCCCCTCCTGTAAAATGGGGCAATAAAGGCCACAGTCTTGCAGGGTGACTAGGAGCTGTATCAAGAGGGGTCGCTGTATCACCCGAGGTCAGGAACAAATGCTCAGGGGAGGCCCAGGCCTGGGGCAAATCCCTGCTGGGTCACTTAATGTCTGAGACTCATTCCTGTCTATCAGTGAGGCAGTGGTAAGAGCTTTAGAGATCAAGGGTTAGGGACTTTCAAATGCTGCGGGGTTACGGTAGGGTGGGGAGGGGGTGGCCACCACTGCTGCTGTTCCCATGCTCACCCCCCCACCCCCGATCCTTTAAGGAGGTCCTGGATGTGCCGGAGGTGAAGGGGTGTCCACAGGGCTGTCCTGGGGCTTTAGGTGGATGAGAGGCAGGGCACAGCGAGGCCCACAGTGAGTGGGATGAGGGGCTGGGAGTCACTGCCCCCCATCTGCTCATTTCAGAAGACAGCAGAGTCCAAGACCACCTGGAGAAGCCCCCAGGCTGAGGAGCCTCCGCAGAACACCTCGTCTGGGCCTGTGCCCGCATCTTGTACTCTTTTTGCGGAGTAGAGAAGCAGAGAGAGCACCGCATCCGAAGGGTTCTGGGAGCCATTCACAGATCCGGGGAAGGTGAGGGTAGAGGAATTTAAAACTAATCCTTAAACAACAACAACACAGAAACAACCAGCCTGCCTCTCTCTACAAGCATTGCCTCACCACCGACTTTCCCAACAGCCCCAAGGGGAGTTCTCCTACCATCCCCACTCAGCTCAGAGCCCGAGATAACACTGCGAGGAAATAATGACATGAGATTTGAACCCAGAGCCCACGATCTGACTGTGAGGCCGCACACCTCCTCCCATCCCACACGTTCCTCAGATGGGAAACTTAAGGCCCAGAGAAGGCAGGAGAGTCTCCAGGGGCTGCACAGCACTCTGGGACCTGGGCTTCTTGGGGAGAAACTGGATGTAGCTGGGAGGGCAGAAGCCAGAGTAGCCAGAGTTAAGGTAAATAACTCATCCCTGTTTGCCTGAGACTTTTAGGGCTGAAAGATCTTTGTCCTGCCAAACCGGGATGGTTGGTCACCCCGTGGCATCTGTCTTGGGCTGTCCAAACGTCCCAGGACAGCTCCACTGGACGTGAGATCGGGACACACAGAGGAGGCCTGGAACACTTGGGGCCTGGTCTGTGCCCTGGGGGCCAAGTCTCCCCACCCCGGGTCCCTGGACACCTACTTGTGGATCCGAGGCTGCAGAGAGCCAGCAGCAGGGCAACGGCCTGGGGGAACGTGCCGCGGTCCATGCTGTCCACCTGGGGATCTGTGCGCTGGGCCTTAGCCAGTGTCCAGGGGCAGGGCTGCAGGCGGGTGCCGGGGCCGGCGTGGGCTCTCGTGGGGACCCAAGGGGAGCAGGCAGCTGGAGCGACGGCGTCCCTGCTCCAGCCTTCTGAGGTGGCGGCCAAGGGGTCAGGAGAAGTGGGCACGGGGGCGCGGGGCCAGGCCGGGGGTCGCTGGCCAAGGGCTGAGCGGGGAGGGGCTGCGGGGCTCCTGTGGACGGCGGCAGCAGTCACGGCCTGTGGATGCGGATGGAGGCTGGGGTCTGAGCGTCAGCAGTGCGGAGCTCCCGGCTCATCAGCCTGGCTTGGGGAGGCAGGAAATGCGCTTCCTTAGACAAGGGGCCGGGCCAGGCGGCCTGCCAGGCGGGGAGAGGAAGTGCCACGGGCTTTGTCGCTGGGTGGGGGGCCCTGGGGCGTGGGGGAGGCAGTGGGGTGGGAGGACCCAGGCTCCAGGCTCGTCTCCCCACACACCCAACCTCCCATCCCACCCTGTCCAGGGCTGGCTGGTGGGGTGCATCTGGCAGCCCCCAGGGGGCAGATGAAAAGAATCACCCCAACAGCCCACCAAGGGGAAATTTCAGGGGCCAGGCCTGGCCAAGGTGCTTCATGTGGAACTCTGCTCCATGTACTCACTGTTCCCATTTTGCAGATGAGAAGACAGAGGCCTGCAGAGATGAGATTATTGGCCCAAGAAGATGGTGGAGCTGGAATTTGAACAGGTCTCATCGGGCACCAAAGGCGGCTTACATAAGTGTGACACCCGGCTGGCGTTCCTTTGTTTTGTAAACAGGGAACCTGAGGCCCAGGATAAGGGAGGAACACTCCAAAACTGGCACAGCATGGCAGCTGGGGTTGAGGTCTCAGGGCCCAGAGAGGACAGGGGACAGGCAGAGGGCCACTTTCTGTCTGTCCCCTCCATGGCTGGAAAATACTTCAGGGACAAATGACAGCCCTAAATGAAAGCGTGTGTGTGGGGGGAGGGGTGGGACACACTTCAATGGCTTTTTTTTTTTTTTGGCTGTGTTGGGTCTTTATTGCGGTGAGGGGGCTTCTCATTGCGGTGGCTTCTCTTGTTGTGGAGCACGGGCTCTAGGCACGTGGGCTTCAGTAGTTGTGGCACACGGGCTCAGTAGTTGTGGCTCGCGGGCTCTAGAGCTCAGGCTCAGTAGTTGTGGCGCACGGACTTAGTTGCTCTGAGGCATGTGGGACCTTCCCAGACCAGGGCTTGAACCTGTGTCCCCTGCATTGGCAGGAGGATTCTTTTTTTTTTTTTAACATCTTTATTGGGGTATAATTGCTTTACAATGGTGTGTTAATTTCTGCTTTATGACAAAGTGAATCAGTTATACATATACATATGTTCCTATATCTCTTCCCTCTTGTATCTGGCAGGAGGATTCTTAAACACCGCGCCACCAAGGAAGTCCCTTTAATGGCATTTCTGACGTTCAAGACCCTGCCGTGCTTGCTCTGAGCTGTGAGATCTCGAGCCAGTCATCCTGTTTGTAAAGTGGGCACGATGATGCCTTCCTCACCAGGCTGTTGTGAGGTTTCCATGGGTCGGGGCACTGCTGCGCAGAGCCCTGGGCCTGGCACTCAGGAAGCGCTCACCCATCAGTGCTCCCTGAGCCTGGGAGACAATCCCAGAACTGTCCCTTGTTTGTTTTGCAAACAGTAAGAGCCAACTACATGCCTACCATGGTGCTGGTCACATGTGGCACTTTAGGGTCAGGCCCAAGGAAGCTCAGAGGAGGAAGCTTGAGCTGCCTGGAGGAGGTGGCATTTAGGCCTGGCCTGTGGAGGTCTGGGCAAGTTGGGGGTGGGGAGAGAAGGAAGGGTGAGGAGGGCATGTCGGGCTGGGGACCAGCCTGAGCAAAGGCATAGAGGCAAGAAGTGGCCTGACCACCATGGGACAAGCAGGGGTGTGGTGGTGACGGGAAGCCTGGAGGGGCAGACTCTGGCCCTGCTCTGGGAGGGGGACCTTGAATGCCAGGGCTTTCTCCTGAAGGCCATGGGGAGTCATGAAGGGTTCTAGAGCAGAAGGTGCTGGCAGAGCAGGCTTTGAGAAGACAAATCTTGGTGTGTGCTGGCGGGACCCGCAGCGGGGATGGAGCCAGGGCTTTTTCTCTTTATACTGTGTTGGTCACAGATGGAGAAATTGAAGCCCGGGGAAGGAGGAGAAGGTGGGAGCCCTGGCTGCCTCTGAAGGGAGCGGAGGGCAGAGCAGGAGTGTGTTTGTGTCTGCAGAAGCTGACCCCCGGGTGGGAAGGGTGGGTGTGGCTCCTTGGGTGGGGAATGGGGCAGGGTGGGAGGGAGGGTTCTCTTGCCCCGCCCTGCGGCTGGCTGCATGGCCAGTTCCCGGCCAGGCATGAGTGTGGGCTCATAGGAGACCCATCTCGGCCCAGCAGGCCAGGAAGGCCGTGACAGGGAGGACGGGGCCACCCCAAAGCGGCAGCCCGAGAGTGGCAGCTCCTCTGTCTTTTCCTGCAGCCACGGAGATGGGGAGGTGGGTGCCACGAGGCAAAGGGTGGCTTCAATAGGGGAAGGTTGGGTGAGGTTTCCCAGGCCCCCCTACCAGTGTCTGTGCCCCAGGGACAGTTAGCTACTCCAGTTCCCTGGGGCTGAACTCTCCCTCTGCCCCGCCCTAGGCGTTCACCTTATCAGCTCTGAATCCTCACAGCCACCCCTAAGTCACACCATTGACAGAGGAGGAGCCCAAGGCCTCCTGAGGTTTGGGAGACCCCCGGCTGGAGACCCCAGGACTGCCTGGCTCCCAGCTCAGCTCCTCCCCTGCTGATCCCATCTGAGCTGAATCTGGAGAGGACAGATGTCACTGGGTAAGGGGGATTGTGGTCCAGAATGGGCGTTGGGGTATCTGAGGCCATAACATGGACCCCATAGGAGGCCCTTCTCAAACCTCCCTCCCTCCCACCCTCATGCTGCACAATCCAACCCCTCCCACGTTGTAAACAAGACCCACTGGGTTCCCTTGAAAGCAGGAGAGGCTGCAGGTGGACACAGGAAGAACATGCAGCAAACTTCCAGGGAAAGAAAAATCTATAGGCAGCACAGGAGGGCCTGGAGCCCTGACCCCAGACACCTGGTGGAGGAAGGAAGAGATTGGGACCCCCCTGGGATGGAGAGGCGGTCACCCCGAAGCTCCCACAGCACCGTGGGCCTCCCCCACTCCCGCTTGTGTGAGTCGTGCTATGTAGGTCTCTCCACTCGACTAGAAGCCCCTCGAGGGCAGGGGCTTTTGATGCCTCTGCGCCTCTGTGTCCCCAGCACAGAGCCAGGACTCTTTGGCCCTTGAAATCATGAAGTGCTCTGGAAGGTAAGGCAGGGACTGGGGCCATGGAGGCATAGGGAAACTGAGGCACAGAGAGGTAAGCCTCGCTCCTGTTTCCCAGTGGAAGAGGCCAGGCTGGGACTGCGCTGCCTGTCCCCAGGAAGCTGCACGGTCACACTGTTTCACAGGCAGGGACAGACCTTGAGTTAGTGGTCTCCTGTTTGCCCCCCAGATGCACGCTCCGTCCCAATGGACACATCTACCTCCTCTCAGCCCTGCACAGTTCAGAGAGGGGAAGGAGGTGGAGGATTTGTCCCTCTGGTGCCTTCCCTGCAGGATCACTGCAAATTGGTGGCCTCCCTGCACTGAAGACCACAGCCCTGACCTGGCCCTCTCCACAAAGCCCTTCAGGCCAAGGATGGTCATGGCCCACGGCCGCTGCCAGCCCCGGGCTTCTGCACTGTCCCCTGTGGTTTCCCTCCACCCTGCCCACACCTGTGTCAACAGACACTTCATCAAACTCTTCTCAAATTATCCCACTGGAACGTGCCATCTGTTTCCTGCTGGGGCTCTGACTGATACAGACATTTTCGGGTGCCGCCTGCCTATCCATACGCCAAAGAGACGTGGCCAATAGCCAAACGTCTGTGCCTGGGCCCCACCGTGGGCAGGTACACAAATTCCACTCCTTCCTCCCCCTGGCTGGCCGGGAAGGCCGGGGCTGCAGGAAGGGATGGAGCACGTGTACCCTGGCCACCGGCCACTGGAGGAATTTTAGGCGGCCCCCAGGGATTCCCCCGACCAGGCGGCAGTCCGTCTCCAGCACCGGCCTGGAGCCAGTGGCTGTCGAAAAGAACAGGGCCAGACCCACATGGGCAAGGGAAAAAGTGGGTACAGGGGAAAGAGGGCACTGGTCTGGGAGCCACAGGGTATCCAGGCTCTGCCCTTGTGGCTTCAGGCAAGACTTTAACATATTCTGGGTCTCAGTTTCTTCCTGTGTGCAGTGGGAGGCCAGCCTACTGGCCTGGGGGAGCTCAAAGCCCAGGACAAGAGTCAGAATCACTGCACCACTCACACACTTGCCCTATGCCAAGTGCCACCTCACGGCCACTTTAATGGGCTGAGACCGTCATGTCCCCATCTTACAATGGAGGAAACTGAGGCTCAGGTGTGCAGGACAACAGGGCTGAGGAGAAGCAGAGGATAATTCAAATCTGGGCCTTTCTTTCCTCCCTTGGCTTCCAGAACATTCCATCCTGGTTTTCCTCCCACCTCCCTGGTCACCTTATCCGTCTCTTCACTGGTCCCTCCCCATCCTCCCATGCTTGGACCCTGGGTCTCTTCCCTTCTCTGTTTATCCTCACTCCCAAGTCAGGTTTTCTCAAATCTTTGTGACCATGATGTCATGTCCCAGCACAAACCCTGGGATTTAGGCTCAAAGAATTAAAACAAACATTTTGTGAACCTATATATAGGTATATATACCCTTATGAGGTACATCCACCCTGTTCCATTTTCTTTCAGATACTAATCACTAGCCACCCTATTGATTTCATTGCCCACCCATGGGTCTTGGCCATAGAATATAATGCCCTAGATGCTCGCTACTCAAAGTGTAGTCTTTTTTTTTTTTTTTTTCTTTTTTTGGCCACACCATGTGGCATGTGGGATCTTAGTT